ATTGGCCAAAGCACAACAGCAGTAGCTACCACTTTATTACAGCATCTGAATCAACCAGAGCGACCAGGTCTTCATTACAACCTTCACGAGCCTGTTCTTGGGCACAGCTTTAGCTTAAATGCTAACACTTCTCAGTTTAGCATGTTGTTAATGAGCGCTAAGCATGATCTGCAGCTGAGTGGTACCAACCAAACTGTTGATGTCATGGTTTGAAAAAGGGATAAGGGATCTTTAAAACTGATCACAGTTCATCCTGAGGGCCACATGTTTGTCCTTCCACCTGTCAAGATATTTCACTTAAATCCAGCAGGTTTCCATGAGTCAGTCCGGCTCTGTCTTCACTAAAAGCTCCTGCTAATTCATGTGCTAGCAGGTTCCTTTGTCTGTGCATTGTTAGATTTCAACCAGGAGAAACGTAAGCGAACAAAATCCAAGTGTCAGTTTAACTGTGTGACACTCTCTGCACACACCCGTTCATTTTCTCTCCTATTCTGTGCATAATTTCAGAGTTTTTTTTGTCAGCTCTGATCAGTCAGCTTCCTGCGCACCGAGCCTTTCTAACGTTGTTAAAAAGCTCCAATCTGGTTTCTTAAGACCTCTGAGAGGTGGTTTCAAGTGAACTACAATTTGTGTTATTCTTGCACTATCAATCACTGTGCAACAAGAGGGAGCACTGTTGTTATATGGCTGATATTTCACTTTGGCACAAATGTTTACTCCTGTCATTTCCATTCAAGATTTTATAGTTTTTTTTCCAGCTGCAGAGACCCCAATTGCCTATTAACGGTAACCTGGAAGTACTAAATGTGCGCAGTGTATTCATATTTCACTCCTCCTTCCTGGCTTACCGGAGGTAATTGGCCCCCGTGCTTAAGTTTTATTCCTTTATCCATAGTCCCGCTGTGTTTATAAGTCAAATCTCTGTCACGGCTGAGATTAACTTGGACAGAGTACTGAGCTCTAAGCGCACAACTCGGGCTTGTGCTCGCGGCAGATGTTAGGAGTCATGAATTATTTCAATCTCGCGCCTCTGAGCTAAACTCACGTCTACAGTTTAATACAGGTGCAATATTTAGATAATTAACGAATCGAGCTTATCTCACAGCGATGACCGGGTTCTCGAAAGAAACTCCTCGTTTTCTCTCTCGCAAAGTAAACTTTACTTCCTCAACTAATCTCCCGAGTTTTTCCTCAAGTGATCACAAGCAAATGATGTCTCTTAGGCAACCTGTGAAAGAGCTGGTGTGTGTGTGTGTGTGTGTGTGTGTGTGTGTGTTTGTGCGTGTCGCAGGGGTCGAGGAGGTGTCAGTTGAATGTAATGTAGCGGTACGACGTGTGATAGCACATTCCCTCCTTGAGACGCTCACTCTCTGGTGCGTTCACACTCACCAATTAACAGAGACGAGCTAAAAAAAGGACCGACAGGCAACGAGCGGTGATGAGGAGCCTGGCGGAGACGAGTGACGGCGCTCCAGTCGCGGTGTTATCACTGTTTTTGTGCTCCACACGCTCCCCGCGCTTCACCCGGTTGTCGAACTGGTTGCAGGGTTTATTTAATCAAACGTTAACTAATAAATGCAGCGCTCCAAATCAGGAGATAAACACCAGCAGGTTGAGTGTTTCGTGGCCTTGAGATGTTGTTTAACACTCCCAGCTCTCAACACATTTTGTTTGACCTTTATGGTTTTTTGATAAAAGTCAAGCAGACCTCTGTTCTTTCTCAGCAAGGCTCTCCTTCATATTCATGCGGCTCCGGTCCCATTCACATGTGGCAGCGGCACAGTGCGAACACCGTCGGCCACTGTGCAGCTCCGCGGGACCGATGGACCCGAATCAAAAGAGTGCGGTCGCCACAGCGCATTAGCAGCTCAGTGAATGTCAAGTTCAAGTTCAGGTTTAATGAACAGGCCGGCGCTGCTCTCTTTGTTTGGCGTTTTTTTAAATGTTACAAAATACGGTGTTGCTCTCGTTTAATTTGCCGCGACTAATTCATCGCCGCTCACCTGTTCTCCATTCACACGCCTGTCATTGAAATATCTACAGTGCAGCGGTGCAGGTTAATAAAATGCTCCACTCCTTCATTGTCCCGGCACAATCCGCACCAGCTTTTTAGAGGCGGATAATGCGGCCTCTTTCTAAATGGTGTGAACCGTGATGAAATTCAATCGAAGGTGCAGACGGCCACACTTACCGCATCTCGTCTAGTCATTGTTCGGCTGTGTACGCGCAAAGCACAATAGCAGCGCTGTTGTTGGAAAATAACACGTTCATCCTCTCACACATGAAAACTTTCATTCACAACTAAATAAATGCATCCTTGCTCGGTTGAAGGCAGTTTCGCAGCCTTGATAGGTCCACAGACTGTATGTAAAGGATGGACGAGACCTCCGGGGGCTGAGGAGTGAAGCCAAGTATCGTAAAGCTGCGTTGTTTCTAACAGCCAGCAGAGGGCGACTGCAAAACTAGTCACATGTTTAAGAAGTCAGTGAGAAAATGACAACAAAACTCACTTGATTTTTTACCTCAGTAAACATTTTCCTTACAAGTTTCTGACCTCAGTAGGTTCACAGCTTCTTCAGTTTTACATGATGTTGTCGATTATGGTCTCATTTAGACGAAAACTGATATAAAAACAGTTTTAGGGTGGATTTTGAACTGACTGATCTAATTACTGTTGTAGATACCCGGCTTTGTGTAAACGTGGCTTTAGAGACCAAGCACACTCAGACAATTTAGAATCACCAATTAACCTCAACATGTTTCTGGACTGTGGGAGGAAGCCGGAGAACCCGGAGAGAACCCACGCTGCACGGGGAGAACATGGAGACTCCACGCAGAAAGATCCCGGGTGTCCTCACCGGGACGCGAACCTTCTAGCTGTGAGGCAACCACCGAGCGCTAAATTCTGAATCCTCTTTTAGCTTCGTTTTAGTCTCCACCAACCTGTGACGGAAATATCTATGATCTCTTCAGCTGCACTAGATTCTTTAACTTTCTGCTGACTTCCTTGCTGATAATCGCTGGACTCTAACACAGTGTACTCGCCTGAAACAATAAGCTAAAAGAGACTAAAAAGTTCGACATATTAGAGAGGAACTGCGGAGGTGAATGATAGTTCCTGGAAAGTCACTTTAAACATCGTCACAGCTTCATTGTTGAGATGAAAAAAACATGCCGGTGCAGCTTTAATTCCCTTGAACGAATCAGACGGGACGCATCGTTATCTGGTTCGCCGGCCATCTTTTGTGAACTGAATTAACCTCTGAACGCGAAACGCTGTGATGTCTGGCAGGCTGCTTACATCAGGATCGACGGCAGCGTGCCATCGTCAGAGCGAATCCAGTTGGTCCACAAGTTCCAGAGTGACCCGGACACCAGAGTGGCCATCCTCAGCATCCAAGCAGCTGGTCAGGTACCGACACACACACACACACACACACACACACACACACACAGGCTCTTTACACACAACCCATTTTAAAGCAAACTCACTTGGAGAGAATACTGAAACACAAACATGATAGATTTTCCTGGCTGGAACTACTGTAAACAAAATCTGCTATTCCGGTAAACTCTCATACATCTTGCACTAGTCAAACAGCCGACTTTGGTAGTAATAAGGCAAATGAAAAGTGTCGTCGTGCCGTAATGCAACGATAAATAGGCCAAACAGAGTCATTTCCATCTACTTATTAGGAATAATGATGACTGTTGTCGTAGTTGCTGCCGTGAATCACAATCAGGCCGAATAAATAATAAAAACATGTTGCGCTCTTAATAATAAACTTAATCTCGTTGACATCAAATATTCCAAGTGACCGAAAAGGTGCAGAAATATTATGCATTCCAATCAAAAGAAGTGGGTGCTTGAAACACTTACAAGGTAATTAGCTGATAATATTCAGTTATTAAAAAGGATTTCGCCAAATTAAATTTGACTGAATGTGGGCTGGAGTGCTCCGTTCGAGGTATTCCTGCCCTGATTTGGCAGTTATTAGTATATGTGTGTGTGTGTGTGTGTGTGTGTGTGTGTGTGTGTGTGTGTGTGTGTGTGTGTNTTTTAACTTGTGTGTGTGTGTGTGCCCTGTGTGTGTGTGTGTGTGTGTGTGTGTGTGTGTGTGTGTGTGTGTGTGTGTGTGTGTCCTCTCCAGGGTTTGACCTTCACCGCTGCCAGCCACGTGGTGTTTGCCGAGCTCTACTGGAACCCCGGCCACATCAAGCAGGCCGAAGATCGCGCCCACCGCATCGGGCAGACCTGCTCCGTCAACGTGCACTACCTCATCGCCAAGGGCACCTTTGACACCGTCATGTGGTCCATGCTCAACAGGAAGGTAGCGCCGCTGACATCACGCGAGCACGCTGGGAGAAAATTTATGCAAAGCTGCTTAAGCGTTTGTTGACGTCATATTTAATTTGAATGTTAAATCACGTTTGTTGCTCTTGGGCTGATTAGCTGCTTCGGTCTTTTGCTTTCAATAGAGAACAGGTTCAGCCACACCTCCGCCCTCCTTAAAACATTTAATTGTCAACCGGAAATATTGTGTACACGAGAGTCAAGGAAGAAATCCCAGCCCGCAAGCATTAAAAATACACGAATAGCCGCAGTTTTTGTCAACTACTGGTCCCTCCTGCTTCCTGTTGTGTCGGTTCCACTCTGTGTCCATCTGTTTCTACGTTTCATCAGACCAGAGCGGGCCATGTTTGGAAACAAACACACCAAATACTGGACCTTAACAAACATAAGAGGAGAAGGAAAGAGCTTTAGAACAGCAAATATAGTGTCGTGGAAATTTTCATTGAACTCAGAAAACACAAAACACGTTGGCAGGTTTAATGTTGTTGATGGAGAATAACAGAGTTCGTCCAGATTCCCGATGAAAAGTACAAATTTAACAGCTTTTACAGTGAACAGACGGTCAGAAAGTCAGCGTACAGACAGTCGTCCTTGCGTTCATTCACACCCTTCCATTAAAGAAAAGGCAAAATCTACACTAGTCACTCAAATAAGTAGAAACTGAATAAAGTGATAATAAATAAAAATTTTCTAAATTATTATGTAGTGAAATAAGATGTTGCTTTTGAATTGTGGTTAAAAGAATAATTAAAAAAAAACAAACAACACTGTCCTAACTAGAGCACTTTGCTGATGAGCAGTGACATCATAACACCTGTCAACAGGTGCAGAAGTCTGACTGAGAGTTACAGAAAACACCTGACGGCAGTGACTGGCTCAAGGGGTTGTTCAACAGAATAGTAGTTTACGGGTCCCATCATCTAAAGCAATTTCTTTAAATTTTTTTTATTATTAATTTTTTTCAATTTCAACTTATTTCAGTGATTTTTTTTCCCTCTTTAATGGGAGGCTATGAATACATCTGAGGACGACTGTACAGGTAAATGTAACCCTGTTATCAGTTTCTGCACCACATCAGAACCGCTGACTCCTTCTTTCCTTACACCAGGGGTGTAAACATATCTTATCTGCTTGGGCTCAAACCTTTTGACCCTCAGGCAGCTCTTTAGCGATTATGCTGAGCAGAAGTAGTTCCACAGCAACAAAGAAATGAGCACATAGATGATGATAACCTGAGAGCTCATGACAGAAGACACTCACGTTGAGCTGAAACAAGTACACATAAATGAGATAAATAACATAAATACAAGTTCTTCAGCCGTTGGTGGCACCGACTTATGTGGAAGGGAGGACCAGAAGTTTCTCTAACGTCCATTTGTGTCCACACTGATCGCTGCACACACTCACAGGAAGTTCAACTTCACACTCTGCTGAAGTTTCAAGTGTCCAACTGTGTAGTTTTCATGTTGGACCATGACTGATGACTAAACTAGTTGTCCATCCGTCAATCTATTAGCTGTACTCCCTTCTTTTTTTTTGTCCTGTGGAGGGTCACAGGGGACTGGAGCCTGTTCTGGCTGACCGTGGGTGAGAGGCGGGGTGCACCCTGGACGGGTCGCCAGTCCATCACACCGCTAACGCAAACAGACAGACAGCCGAGCACACTCACACGATGTAGAATCACCAATTAACCTGCCCGCAAAGAGAAAACTCAACACAGAGGGGCAACAAGCGGGTTCAAACCTTCGACCTTTTTGGCTGTGAGGCGACCCGCTGCAGCACCAGACCGTCAGAAAACACGTTGTCACTCACGCACACTAACCTGAGATTTATTACGAGCGCAGGCTTTGTGAAAACAGCTTCCGATCATCAAACACTGATGATTGGAGGGGGACTTTAAATACCCCTGTCTCCTCTGAAAAATATTTAGTTATATACTGTCTGTCAGTGAAGTTGATTTGCATGTGAGAACAGACTTGGGGGATTTACATTAATAATCCCAGCTGTCAGGATTTCTAATTAAAACGATTCCACTCAAACATTTTTCCTCTGTCCACGATACATCATCACACGGTTTGCTGATGAAACAAAAACACGAGGAGAAAAAAAAAACTGTCTGGAGGAACTGAGTGTCCCGTGTCCTTCAGGAAACTGTGACGGGCAGCACTCTGAACGGGAGGAAGGAGTACCTGAAGGCCGACGTGGGCGACAGGGACAAATGGGAGTTCCTCAGCTTTGCCGACGCGTGGACGCCGGGCGAGATGGTGCTGCCGCTGGAGGGAAGCTCGGACAAAGACGACGTGTTCTTCACCCACGTGAGTCGGCTGGAAGAGTTCGCCAGATGGGTTGTTTTGCTTCACTTTCCTTTAGATTGATTAAATAAACGAACAGAGATGCCTAACTATGCCCCCTGTCCCCACACACGTCACAATAAAGTAGTGAAATCCATTAAATCTTGATGGTTTATGTTTGCTTCAACCTAATCTGCCACCAAGAAGTTTTGCTATAAGAAGGTTACAACATCTCCAGAATCCAAACCTTCAGAACTCCGTCACTCACACCAGGAGATGTCGTCGCTCTGGTGCTGCTGTCAGGAGGTTAATAAACTCCTTCATCATGTGTGTGGAAAGTTTTGAAGCTGTAGATGCAGATTTGTGCGGGAATAAAAGAGGAATATGCACAAAGTATGTCGGTAATAATTGGGTAAAATTTACAAAAACTGTCAACGTGTAATGCTGATGATGGTAGAGGAGTTCCTTTTAGAGTAAATCAACAAATGCATTTACAGGTTGCTCGACACTTGATGGCTTACAAAAGGAATATTGTCCCATTGTGCAAGAACGTGTGATCCAGGTTGGAAGAGGTTGTGGTTGTTTTTTGTTTTTTTTTCAAAGCTGTTGCTGTTAGAGTTTGACAGAACCGAGAGGCTTCTCTGTGCCAATTTATTATTTGTCATCATGTCGTTTTCATTATTATTTTCCTCCTCGCAAGGACACAACTTCATCAGAGAGTGTCGCTTTGTGTTCCTTAAAAGGCTGAAATGGCTGTTTTGTGACAGTGATAGCAGCGATGACAAAAGTGAGATTTGTGTCGTGGATGTTGCGCCACTTTGCAGGCGAATTGAAAACTGTACACACTATGGAGAAGAAAAACTAACTCGAGCTTGTGTCTGTTTTATTTTTCGTAGTTTGAGAAAGACAAGCAGCACGACATCCGTTCCTTTTTCTCCCCGAGCGCCAGCCAGGAGGAGAAGAAGAAGAAGAGGAGGAGAACGGAAGATGAAGGAACATCTCCCTCCATGTCCTCGGAGACGCCCGCCACGCCAGCCGGCAGTGGAGCCGACTCTGAACGGTCCTGTTCCCGGGCTTCCGTCTCACCTGACCAGGACTTCTCCCCTCAGCTGAAGAGGCTGCGGGTGCCGCAGACCAGCCCGAGCCCCGGGTCTCAATTCGGGGGCAGACGGAGGTCCTCTCTGGCCTCCTTGATGGCCCCGCGAAAGCTGTCGGAGCCTGATCCTGGTCCGGTTTGGAGCTGTGGGGCCTGCACCTACTCCAACAGCGGCCTGCTGCCGTACTGCGAGATGTGCGAGTTCCCGCGTTCTTCCTCCGCCGCCGCCGGGTCAGGTAGGCCGAAGCAACAAGTCCTAACTAATCACCTGATCCCCCTCCTGCCTCTGTCTGCTTCCACTTTACTTTAATTCACCGGCATCATGCCGCTGATTGCGAATCACAGCCGATTTTATTAAGAAAACGACAATAACTCCATCGTGGCTCGCTTGAAACGAAGCACCTGAAGCTAAAAACCTCATTCACTGCTTTATTTTCCTTCCTGTCAATATCAATCGTAGCCGTCTGTTGACATAATACTTTTGAGCAGCATTACAGATTTCACCAGATGGAGACGCGTGATAGAGAAAGATGGAGGCAGAGTCTGAAATAGCACTGCTCGGAGAATATTGTCTCTCTCCCCCTCTCTCCCTCTCTCTCCCCCTCTCTCTCTCTCTCTCTCTGCAGATGACAAGGACACAGTATAATTCTCACCTGTCAAGCTGAGAGAGAGAGAGAGAGAGAGAGAGAGAGAGAGAGAGAGAGGGAGAGCAGGCGCCTACTATTGCTGCAAACGTCTCACACAAAGTTGGGAAAAGTTGAGCCGGCTCTGGCTGATATCTCTGACAGCCTATGATTGTATCTTGCAAAAGAGAGGGGAGGGAAGTCGTTATGACCTGGCAAACTGCAGGTCCACGCTCTTTAAATGTCTGAGAGGCATCAGATCGGTTGAGAAATGACTTTAAAAAAAAAGAAAAACCTCCCAAAAACCTCAGGATGTTTAGACAGCATCGGTTTACTGCGTTCATTAAAACACGTCTGCAAGAAATCCTTTACCAACAACGAGTAACGAATCAGCGGCTTCATTAACACGGATTTTCCTCCTGTTCACTTACCTCATAAGCTTAATGCAATCATTGTTTTATAGCCACTTCTTCAACTTGTAGAAGTTAAAGGTTTTCAAACGTAGCAAAAATACTGGTTAATTAACGCCGAATTTAAATGGATTCAGAGTTTCAGAATAATTACGTATCGCGATGACTCATAAAGAAGTAATTCTGAGGTGAGCATAGCCTCTGGCCCTCGGGCTGCCAGCCCGCCGAGGAAGAGGGAAAAAAGGTGTTTTAGTGTCTGACAAATAAAGCCTTTTATATTTCATGCTGAAATCAAAATTACTTGCAGGAGAGAAGTAATTAGAAAGAATGCATTTACCATGAAAAGCCATTTTGTTTGCACTACAATTAGAAATCCGGTGACGGGTTAATTGAGTTTTACACACCTTGCCTAAAAGAATAGTTCAGAGGAGAATTAGAAATCTTAGAATGTTTTTTTTGCAGAGGGTTAAAGGATCTAGACTCAGGAAGGAAACTGGAGGCAGGTGGATGTCAGTGGGATTCAGCAACAGGTGGTGATGGAAGGTGAATACAATGCTCATCTTTGAGGCAATGCAACTGAGGTGACCACCAGCAGGAGCAAAGGGGACTGTTAGTTAGCGTTGGACGCCATTATTAAGTTTCCCAGATGTTTAACACAGATGTTGGAGGAGCAGCTCGTCATCAACAATCTACAACTGCACTCACAACTCATACAACATTTCTGATTATAAAGAAGTTACTGCTTTGATGTATAAATGACGAGTTCATTTGCAGAAACAGATAACGCCGTCTTCTTCACAAACCTTCAGAAAACCCACTTTTCCATCGTCTACCTGAGACAAAATCAATCAAGTTGTCTCTGTTGTTGAGTCAAATCCACTCAGCTTCAGTTTGGTTCATATTATCTCGAGCAAACAACAACAACAAAAAAACAAGTTTTCCTCAAATCTACAACAATGGAGTTCTCTGTTTTTGTAAGTGAACCCTTCAAATGGACTAAAAGAAATATAATTGTGGGTGGGTTTGTCACTGTTGAAGTGTAGGCGGTAACCATGGCGATCAGAGGCTGGCGGGTCCAACTGGAGAATGGTCTGACTGGACCTCGTTATGAGTCTTCTACGAGGGGGTAAAAGCTGTGGTATGTCTTTAAACCGAGTCGTTCTGGGTGGTGCTACGACCACGATGCAGCAGTGGTGGGTTTTTTAATAAAACAGTGGCAGGAGGGATGCTTTTATTGGAACATTTAGATGCAGGAAGGTGAGAATTAAATCGCTCGTTCACCAAAAATACAGCAAGGTTGGCGGCTATTTTTCCAAGCAAAATTTCTAGATGTTGATACGATGCTGCCACATGTTCACAAGCCCGTATGAACTCGCTGCTTTTGTATTAATCTCATCTTTCTATAAGCTCAGAGGTCACCAGCTGTGATCCATCTGGTCTGAGAAACGGCCATGGAAGCTAATTTTTCAGTTAATAATAAGTTAATAGCCGATGTTGTCATTTGAGTCATGAAGGATTTTGTAATTTTATCATGTCTGATGAAAGTTATATTTCCAGCAGCTTCATCTTTTCCTTCTGTTTTGCATTTCCTAGATCACGTTGCCCACTTATTAGCGTGCTAAACTGTTAGCCTTGGTGGCCTCTAGAGCAGGGGTGTCCAATCCTGGTCCTCGAGAGCCACAGTCCTGCATGTTTTAGATGTTTCCTTCTTCCAACACACCTGATTCAAATGATCAGGATCGTTATCAGGCTTCTGCAGAGCTTGATGATGAGCTGATCATTTGAACATCTAAAACACGCAGGACTGTGGCTCTCGAGGACCAGGATTGGAGACCCCTGCTCTAGATGGTGATAACGCAGCAGTGTTCTCACGACTCACCTCGAGATTTTGGCGAATGCGGCTTCTCATGTCGAGCTCACGAGTTCCATTAGAAGCAGCGAAAAAAAATCTCAATCGGATGCTTATTTTATTCATAAATACGAACAAAGTGCGTGTGCTTTACGTGCTGCAGCATTCAGTAAAATGTTGGGATTAATATATCCTTAATAACACGCTCAGTCGGTTTATAAAGCGACGTCGGCGCTGCTGCAGTGATGACTGGAGTCTCTGTTCTAATACAGGATCCATATTGAGTGTAAGTATAGAGTAAATATTGGCTGTGCTGAAGGTCTGTTGTCTGGTGCACTTAAAACACACACAGTACAAACAAGCCGTACCTCAGCTTTTTGAGCAGCACACCCACACACTCACCCACACACACGCTGCTTTTTTTTTTTTTTTCCAACAAAATTCACCCCCCATTTCATGCTCAGCTGCAGCAGATGCTTGATAACTATTCAGCAATCACACTCTCTTCTTTGTCACAAGCGGCACTCTGCATTCACAGCAGCAGCCTGTGTCAGCTTGCTAGACAGGGAATTTAACAACCTGCTAAATTTGTAAATGACAGACTGCTGAAAAATAACAACTGTATTTATGGAGATATCTCTCAACTTGGCACCGCAATCCTCAGCTCGTGGAAATGTAAGAAAATAATCAGCTGGGAGCCTATAGTGTGACATGAGGAATGTTATCTCTTCAAGAACAACAATTTTTCACGACGACTATAAAGACGGGACATTGTCTGTGAATCTCAGAATACTGACACATGATTCAAGGACATCAGGGCTTCATGTTTAAAGTAAAGGAAAACAAGCATTCCAGGCATTTGGCATCCGCCGTCTGTGGATTTTCACAGCGTGGCAAAAAAAAAGAAGAAAAAATACAGCGAGCCAGCAGCTGTAGGGGGAAGAATAGTCAGCATGCAGAAGGATATTGGTCTGTGTTACTGTGAGGCGTTTGTACCAGAATGAAATGCAACAGAATGAGATGCATGAAATGAGAAGGACAAGAAAGCGTTCTATTATTCAGCAGCGAGTATTGATGCTCGATGGAGGAAACACCTGAAAGAGGAGCTTTGCTGGAGTTGCTTTAGCTGCGGATATGTTTTGAAATGAAGTCGGTTTACCACTCAAAACTATATATATGTATTTTTTAGACAACTGGGTCTGCAGTTTCACACAATATAAACCAACATATTTTAGTAATTTTGTCGGCTAAAATAATAAATAACTGCAGTTTTTTAAGCTATAGCCAGCTAGAGTTTGCTAGTAAATATTAACGTAGTGAGTTTGTTGAAAATGACCTCTTGATGCTTTTAGCTGGTTAGTTATTAAATTAAATTCCTGTAAAATGGCCTCAAATAACAACAGCATAGGTGTACATCTCAGGGGATGCAGGACATATAAAACAGGTGTGTTGGTCCCCTTAATAAAAACATGATGATTAAGCTATAACTTTAGCCACTGTGCTGGAATTTTGCGTTTTATTTTACATAAATCCCCATTTCACTGTGAAAATGGACGGATTGGTGCAGAAAAATTCACCAGCATCCCAAAAAAATACTGTTTGATGCTTCAAATTTCCTGGGAAAGGACGCCCAGACTCCTGTTCAAACTAACGTTACACCCACCTGTGATATAAGATGATCCCATCATACCTGTTTCTATCGTAACGCTCACAAATCCCCAGAATGTGTGTCTTCAGCTCACACAACTTCACAGACTGTTAATTTTATCGCGCTTACACGCCCCTGGTTTTATCCCAGATACAAACGAGCTGTTTAAGCGACCGTCGCTGTAAATCCAATTAAGCTGCTCGCGTCCCTTTTTTAGGAAGAGGATCACAGGCTCAAATCTCTCTGCATTGTCTCTGTTAGGTGAGGAGGCGGAGCCAGCTGGGGGAAAGGAGCCGAACCTTCCCCCGATGTGACATCACAACAGGCGGCAAACTGGAACAGCTGATTTGTTTGCTGAATTGTTTCTCATATTTGTGGAACTGTAGACACAAAGGGAGCACAAAGAACTAAAACTAGAACTAAAACTAGATCGTGCACAACATGGCTCCTTTAAGGGCGTGTGCACATGTCCCAGGCAAAATGGCAGCATCCTTCCCAGCTGATCAGACGTGTAGAAGACATGAGAAATGTGAAGCAACAAAGTTTTGTAAAGAGCTCGGTAGCCTTGGAATTACAACAAAAATGGATGCATGTAAACGCCGAGATAGTCAAACAGGAGGTTTTGGCTTGAGGGACAGATTTGAGTATTAAAGTGACTGATCCCTTTATCTCAGGTGGAGTAAAGAGCAGCAATAAGCTTTTTCTTTCAAGTGGTTGGTGAATGTCGTGTGCCTTCGCTGAGGAGTGAAGCTGCATTAGTAGTTAGCCGTGCATGCTAATGTTTGCAGGTCAACACTGTGAAATCCATTCCTTTGCTTCGGCCTGATGTGTTTCGCTACAGTTGCTAATAATATACTAGAAAACGGTAGCTTAGCAATTAGCTTAGCACCACAGATGTTTAAAATGTTGATGAAGAACTTTTCTGTGAAGCAGTATTTTCTGTAATGTGTGCGATCCTCCGGGCAGTCTTAGTTGCGGCGGCCGTCGTTTCTCATCTTTCCCTCTGAAAATGATCAGTCAGGGAGGGAAACTCACCTAATTCCAGGTGTTAAACAATAACACATTATAATAATTGGACACAAATCGGATCGCCGTAGTGCCGTATCGTCAGCAGCGCCGGACCGTTTTTAATCAAACTGTCACGCGTTATTACCTCCTTCCTGTGACGGGCTTCGGCATCTCAGGTGAGTTCATCTGTTTCCTGTCGTCGATTCGGCGCCGGTAAACAACCAGGCGACGTCCGTTGAACTGTTTGAGTTAAATCAGTTGGGTTCCTGTGTTTGCAGCTTTTTTAAGGCCGAGAGCGTGGGCACGGTGTAGTCCTTCAGCTCTCTAACCAGTAGACCATCAATTTGTCTCTCAGCACCTACTGTGAGAGACGTATACAGGAAGAGGGCAATTTGGTTATCTCCTGACTCTCCACACCTCGCAGCTACTCTGTCCTGATTTTTTTTTTTTTCCCATCCTGAATTTTAGCAAAACAAGGTCCAGCCAAGTCCTTAACGGTTTTGATATTTCAGCGTATCTGAGGACCAGCTACTTTGCTTTTCTTTGATTCCTCTTTGTCGCAGGCAGCAGCTGTTTCGCTCCCCGCAGACTGCAAAAACAAGCTTTTCCTGTTTTATTGAACTACTGGAGTGTGCTAGTTTTTTTTTTTTTATTATTATTGTGAATTCTCATTAGCTTATGCTGTTGGCTCACATGTTAGGATCACATGCTATCTGAATGTGCTTGAATGTTGGACCCGTATCAAGCCACTACAGACATAATGGGGCCCTGATGGGTGGCAGAACAAGGGGGCTGACTGGTAGAGCTGAGGCACGGCCCGGTAGGATTTCCCCCGTTAACGTCTTCCTCGACGGGGACAGCTTAACACAAATTGAGCCGTCTCTCCGCGGCCTCGCTCGGCTTGTTAGTGAAGGGGGGGCAGCGGCCAGGAGCCCCGAGACTCGGATGACATTTGAGGAAAGCGACTAGAGGCTGGCCTTTTGAAGAAACAAGCCACAGAGAGGCTGGATCACTAATTAGCCCTCTGCGTCCCCAAGAATCACAACTTACTGTCTTGTTAGATTTCACACCTCAAGTTCAACAAATATTGTGAAAGGATGTGATTTAAATTTAACTAGGAAAGCAGGGAAAGGAAATTATATAGCACTTCTGTTTTTTTTTTTCTTTTAAAGAAGTCCTGCTCAGACGGTGACATTTACATTTGGCTATAAATAATTGCGCTCTTTTCTTTCAGCAGCTAATCTATCTGTTAATTCTACCTCGATAACAAACATCAGCGCAAAAAGTACAATTTTTAAATCATGTGAAGTCTGTGAATGATGACGGCGTAATCCCTGCATTCATTAACATTTTTGTGGCTTAGATTTCTGCTTGACCTTCACAGAATTACGACATTCTGCATGAATGAAAATCACGAGTGGTTCAACGCCGGAACCACAGCAAAAAAAAAACTAAGTTTGATAACCGGTCTTCGAGGTTCTTTAGAGTCGGATGTGCCACCGGCGTTCAGCTCCTATCAGCTGTCTGAACGGCGCTCGCTGCACCCGGCTGGAGCGCCGCACAGATGCAGCAATTGCTGACAATTATTTTGTTTAGGTTTGATTGCACATGATGCAGGCGAGCAATTAACAAAACAATGTGACACGAGCGTAATTCACTCTCTCAGCAAATGATATTGGCTGTTTGATCCAAAAGCTGGCGAACGGCGGCGGGGGGGGCGGCAGGTGTTCCGTCTGCAGCTTTCTGCATCACAGCTGATGTGCTGCTGAGCAAGGATCTGAACACTCACATGTCCAGATAGTGGTCAGTGTGCAGCAGTTAGCAGCTACCGAGATGAAATCATGTACTTGAAAATGGGATTTATATGCACTTCAAAATGTACCTGCTCCTTAAAAACGACACATTCAGACAAAGGCAGCTTTCCACGTTCTTCTGCAGCCCTGCTTATATCTCTTCATTTTGCACAATTACATCCTCTAAACTTGTCAGTGAAGGACTTATGATAGCTAATAACATCACTAATGAGCCATATTGAGTTTTACTTTCATGTCAGCAGTCATTTTGTCACACTGTCACACTCTTCAGATGATGGATATCTCGCTCGGGAATGAAACTCTTCAAAGTCTGATTACACTGTGCAACTCGGCCAATGGAGTAATCTTCATCTTTCTCTCCCCTCCTCTCTCTCTCTCTCTGCTGGCTCAGAGCCACCCAGGCCTCAGCAACCCCCTGCAGCCGAGACGGACCAGGCGTGCATCGTCCTCTCCAGCTCCGACAGCGAGCCAGAGCTCAGCCGGGGAAAAGCCCGGCCTCCGAAATCACACAAAGACAAACAGAGCGAGGAGGAGGAGGAGGAGGATGAGCCTCCGAAAGACAAACAGAAACTAGGAGAAGCAGAGGAAGAGGACAAGCGGTGGCTCAAAGGCAAACAATCAGCGGGGGAGAGAGGCGACAACGTCGCTGGCGGTGGCGGCTGCCTCCCCCCTGACCACACACAGGGTAATCCCACCTGCAATCTTCTCCTTTTCATATCTAGGGAAATTGGCTGGTGCCGCATTGTCACCTGCCCATATAATGCTGTTTAATATCATCACTTCAAACCAATAAGGGACTATATCTCATTCCATATGGGGCTGGGCATTATTATTCTTACTTCTTATTAGTATCTCGTTGGAGATATTGCCTATTTCTGCACTCTGCACTCGGAAGCTACAGGAGATATTGAGTAAAACCTCACTAGTCTCCGCTGACCTGCTTGAAGCAACAAAATACGACGCACACAAGGGTTGAGGGTGTATCACTGTCCGGCCGGCAACTGATGAGCTTCTGATTAGCTGTTTTTTAATAAAGTGGACTGAGGTCTAATTACATAAAAGGCACAAGTTCCCTCATTGCACCAGCTCATCCTTGAAACACAACCTGCTTCCCCGTCCACTCCGGTTATATGTGTACATGTCTGTGAATCTCCGAGGGATGTGAAGAACAAATTCCCAATTACACAGTGTGTAATATTGCAAATTAAGACCTCTGTTCAAGTACTTGTGTCTCAGAGGGATACGCAAAGCAATAAATTGCGCTAATTACAAAGAACTAATTACACTGTGTGCAATATGAAGACCTTTTAAAAAAAAATGCCAGACTAGCAGAGTCTAAGAAAAGCCCGTGACCTGGGTGTTGCATCAAAAAGGGCGCAGACGTTTTGGGGTTGGGTGTTGACGGATGAAACTGAGCTGAGGGCTGCTTTTAAAGCTTCTTCGTAGAATACCTAATGCAGAGGGGGGGGGACTGTTGCACAAGTCATTTAGGTTTTAACAGGCAAGCTATCAACCCCTATTAGCCTTTAACATCCTGAGATCAGTGTGCAACAGCTTGGCAGGTTCCTGTTCTTGGGAGACACACACACACTGGTGACATCTATTAGTGCCCAGGTTGTCGAGTGGTTAATTTCCCATCTCTGTAGCTACACGTGCCCCCCAACGGTCTGGGGCTGATTCCTGCTGTAGCTTCCCCTGCAGTGCCTCCTGCACTCCGTTCCCGCCTCCTACTCTCAGGAAAAAAAAAATACTAAAGGTGAGCGAAAGGCCCGCGTTCTTTCTTTCTTTCTTCTTTTCTCTTTTCTTTTTTAAAAACACCTCTATTTAGAGCGACTCTAGGGGAGAGATAAAAGCCTCAGTGTCGATCAGAAATGGCAGCACTAAAGAGACACTGCAGGATACCAGCTTGGCCCCCTACGCTCCCTTCAGACATGCACTTTTCCCTGCAGACAACTCACCGCTATCTGCAGCACCGCGCCAAAGTTTTAGGGCTTTAAACGTGACATCAAGTCTGAACATACAGCCGGAGTCATAAAGAACTATCTTCAGTGACAAGAAGGACGAGCGGTCCTGCAACAGATGGTTTGGCCCCCTCAGAGCGCCGGCGTCGGCATCAGGGAGTCAGTCAGGGATTACATGAACAGACAGAGGCTAGTGAGACAGCATAAATGTGGAACCTGCCTGTCGACTGCCTTAAAAAAAAAAAACTTTGCAAGTGCACCTAGCACGTATGACGTGACTTGATTTTTAAAAAAAAGCTATTCATGGCATCTATCCTGTTGTTGTTTAGTCAGTTTGTTAGTTACATGCCGTTGCCTGTCTGTCTCCGGCAGCGTGGGTCTAATACGAAACACAGTGGTTGTCCAATAAAAGTGACCTATGGGGTCAGGAGCTGTGCCTAATGATTTTCCTCTACCTGCCTGTGGTTTTAGGAGGCAAACCGCAGAGCTGTCGGCCGCCCCCACCTCTTGATTGCTCTGAGATTACTTTCCTCACAGCACAGACAGGCAATCACTCCTCCTCCAGCGCTCTGTCTGCCGCTCTGCTCGCCGTCTGTCGCTCCGTCCGTCCGTCTGCCGGCGCGGCCAGAGCGTTTCTACACGGATACGCGTTTGTTTTGGACATTAGTTCAAACGTCGCAGCCGCATCAAACGTCTTCATACCCCAAGTTGGAATTTAGTTTTTTTTTTTTATATCTTCCGTTTCGATCCTGCAGAAGATGAGATGACTCAGTCCAATTAGGCGTTGTTTTCTTTCTCTTGCAGTAAAATAACAGATAAATCCCTTGGGGTGTTTTGAAGGCACTGTTCATACTGTGTAAGTGACAGTCTAATAAGACGGCTTTGTAAGATGAATTGCCCCCATCGTATAAATGGCCCACTTAATGCAGCTGGCGCGTTCCGCCACTGCAAACAGGGGAAGGGGGGAGAAGAAGAAGAAAAAAAAAAACTGCTTACAACAAATATAGGGTGCACATTGCAGAGCTGCTAGGTTTCATTACAGATGCAGCAGGACAGAAGGATAGATGGGATTTTGTGAAACGCTAGTGTCCTAAAAATGTTTTGGTTCCAGGTTTGTAGCTCTGCAAAATGCCTTGTCTGGTTATCTTGGTATTTTCAGACACAAAGTGGCCCATTTCAGCCGAAGCCGGGGTGAGATCAGAACAATGTGTGCCCGACTTGGGAAAATTGCACCTATGAGGACGACAAGCATAAAAATGAAAGATACGGACTTTGTACAGGATAGGTCAAGGAGAGGAAATGACTTATTAGGATGAGCTCACCTTGAAACAAAAACAGCTTTAGCATGAAATTGCGTCATATGTTATTAGACGAAGCAGTGATGGAATGTAGGTGCCGTTAATTCTCACGTTAAAGCCAATAAATAACAGCAATCTGTGCAGGAAGTGTCAGTAACAGTCACTTAACAGTGAAGAAAGGAGGAAAAAAAAAAACACAGCAAAGCACAAGTGATTGGAATAATTAATGAATAGAAACCGTGTGAGAAAAATAGAGCATACTGAACCGATGGAGCTACTGCTGTAGAAATCCACCAGATCACAGCGATGGCAGGAAAGATAGACGTGAAAGCATCTCTCGAATATCTGCTTCATTCAGACGTCGAACTGTTTCTCTTTGCAATTTATGTAAATGCGAGGATGTGAGAATTTATGCCAAGTACGTTGACTCAGATACACTTCATACAGGTTTCAAGTACTTGTGCTTTACTCGCATGCTAAATGTTAATTTGACTGCAAGGGATGAACTGATCAAGTTTTCTTTAATCCAATCTGATCTGACGCATTTTAAAATTAGAATGCCAATTTCCGAGATGCTTCACGCTTATGATTATAGATCAGCTGTAGTACCTGGTTCCGCCACCAGGTGGAACCTCTTCATCCTGTGACGCTTCATGACCTCTGTCCACTGTGTTCAATCAACCAGGGACCAATTAGGTTTGGGTTTCTAAGTCCTGCTGACAGACATGACGGTCACCTTTGCGGTCTGTATGTGGCTTCAAACAAATTTCCAGTAGATAATTTGTATTATGAATACTTCATTTATTGATTCAACGTGCAGCCTTTATTAGGAAAATTAATTCAATTTACCAGACATGACAGCGGATATTATTGCAGACTATATTTGCTGTTCCACTGACCATCAGTTGGCGGCAATAACGTGCAACGAACCGAAGAAGTTTGCCCCCTAAAGGCGCTGAAGAAAAACGCTGCAGACCGGCAAACATGGATCCAAATGCTTTCGCCTAAAGGTGCCATATGTTAGATGTTGAACACCGATGTAGCATTAATGTAGCAGCAAACAACTATGTGCTTTGTAAAGATATAGTAATGGTGTCCTTAGCAGAGAATAACAGCACAATCCCTCTGTGTTTGCTGTAGTCTCAGGTTCTCCCTTTTATTTTTCTGCAGTCCAGCTGTGAATGTATGTTGGTCTGTAACGCAAAATCCCAGTCTGGCGCTCAGCTGGTTCCCCGAAAACCAAAGAACTTCAAAACAAAGCATCTTTATCTGTTACTTAACAAGTTTATTCCGCTTTATTTTAGCTCGGTGTGAAAGGTTTTCATGTACGACTGCTGCACAGAGAACTTTTAAGTCAGAAAATGCTTTCAACGTGTTTCTTAGACCTCAAAAGTATGCAATGCATTTTCATTAGAACGTAATTTTAGTTGTTACACGCCTCCCTTCCACATTATTTACATGTTAATGCATCATCTGGTATTATGCAATAATTAAACACTGATTATGCAGCTTAATTAGTACCACATTGTGCCGATTACATTAGATTTGGACTTATAAGTAGTTGTATTTTTTAAAAATATGTTTTTGACACCAGTGAGACGACAAAAGAAGGAGAATTTAAGCCTAAAAAATAAGATTAAGGTCATCAACTAGGCCATTTTTCCCCTCGCAGCCGACGCCACAAATGCTGCAAATCTCGTCTTTAAAATGGAAATCGCCAACAGTCTTAATTGTGAGCAGCGGCTGAATTACAATATATTTGAGAAGCCTAAAGGACGCTTGTAATTACCCAAAGCCGCTACAGCAAATACATTAAACCCCGTGAAAAAGGCTGTTTCAGATCTTAAGTTTTTCTTAAATATGCGCGGCTAAATAGACGAAATGTTCTTGGAGTTTAAAAACACACTTACTCGAGTGTTATGAGTTTAATGCTTTCATTGCCGTAATTGACGGTGGCCCGGCGACACAATCGAGCAGCAGATTTTGATTGAAATATTGGTGAGTCCCGATTGGTGCAGAGATGGATGATGTAGCATCACCTTTTTCACAACTGAACCCACTTCAGACCAGACAAAAAACTCTTGTTTGAAATTGTCAGAAAACCCTCATCGCTTATTGTAAGAAAACACATTTGCAGTTGCCTGTAGACATTTGTAATATAACCTTCTTTCATGTCATGATGATAAGCTCTGTTTGGGTTGGCGACCCAAACGTCGGCGTCACTTAACCCCTGCAGGGTTTCAAAGAAGAAGCCGACTCCGTCCTGTAGCCACTAGAGATTCGGTGCAGGTGCAGGGCGGCACTTGTTCAGTGGAAACTCTCTTGTCACGGACATCAGCCTGTGTCAGTATTTTCCCCCCATTAGCAAGCCAGATGGACACACACACTTCCTCGCAAGCACGCGCGCCGACAAGGCAGACAACTGGCCACGCGAAGTGATTTAAGGCGAGTATTATCAGAGTGTTATAGGTCATTGTCTAAATGAAGCGTGGTCGAACAGCGGCGGTCTCATTTCCACCGCCTGACCTTTTCTCGCTAGATGCTGGCAGGATGAGCGAGCCACATAGCTGACATTAATGACCCGCTCCCTCTCTTCCCTTTTCTCTGTTTCCCTGCGTCTGTGACTGTCATTTTATCACTCTCTCTTTTTTTCGCTCTCTAGCTGTGCTTCCGTCCTGTTGTTCAGCAAATTCTTGAGTGAACTTGTGAAAAATAAATTGGGCAGTTTCTGTCAAAGAATTTGGCTCCCTTTGTGGCGGCGCGGTATTATACAACACTGGAGGGATCGTTTTTTTTTTTTCCTTTGGAGAGCGAGATGAGGCGGCCGATATCCAGCTCATGACCGCGTGTTGGAAATGGATTTACGATGAGATTAGGTTCAGTTAACTCAGAAGACATGGCTGTAGAAATGACAAAACAAGGACACGTTTATTCCAAAAAAGTAGTGGTTGTGATGTTTTAATTTCTGTTCGTTAGTGAGTTAAATGGACGATACACTTTGGGTAATTAAGGCTGCTTTAAACGCCTGAAACAGCAAGAGTTTCTTGAGCTGAATCTCTGATTTAATGCTGCCTTCCGTTTACCGTGGGAATTAGAGTTTGGGATGTGGCGAGAGGTGACCACATGTACATACAACATGTTGGAAACCAAGAGGACACCTCCAGGAACCAGGCCGGGTACCCGTAACGTATTTGTGTTGCACGAGAAAAGTTAGTTTTCATCTTGTGAATGATCAAAGTTACAGGTTGGCAGTTTATTACAGCCATGCATAACGTAGCCTATACCGCCATCTTGTGACGACTCCAAGCAAGCTAGTTTATTCATTCCAAAGCAGTTTTTGACAATTTACAATTTTGCTTTTAACTCGCTTTACAGTCACATGGAAACAGGGCTATTGTTAGCCATTTTGGGCGGTAGCAACTAGTCCACATAAGTTGGACAGAACTGCGTGTACGGCTGGTACAACGCGACACGTATAAGACAAAGATGCTAATAAACGTTACGTTACGACAAAGTTTACTGCTGTGGATGTGCAGAGCAGCCATTTTGGATTTTAAGGCCCTTGGTGCCACTGAGCATTAGCGAACCATCTTGACAGCGTTGGCCTTTGCAAGGATGCTAATGTAGCTTATTAGCTTTCATTTAACTGCTGCTATGAGACTGCGAACCGCAAACAAGAATTGTTTGCCGTCAGGTGTATGATAGTCGTGAGTCACACAAAAATGTTAAAGACACTGGAGCTAACTAGCGTGCTAACTGACAGCAACCTAGCTAGAGCTACATGTGCAGCTATTGTGACCGTAGCTGACTCGCAGTTAGCCCAGCTGGAGCTGAACAGACACTGGATTTTCAGAATTGATTTCTAACATGTGTGACCTAAATATTCCTTCACCATTGAGTAGCACAGAGTAGTTTTACAGAGTTGTGAGTGAGCTGGTGTGCTCAAGCTAAAGATCCACCCATTCTAGGGAAGCCTTGGTGCAAGGTTACATTTGAGGATTTTTTTTCATCTTTATCAATGAACGAAGGACTTCATTCAGTCACACTTCAGTCAGACTCAGGTGTTTTGGCAGATGACGCGACACTGCCTCTGCCACTCTGCGTTGTCAATCACAAAGACTAGTCATCAAAATACGGTGTAAATGTCCAATCACGTCTAATTTCAGAGACTGTTTTTCATCCTCACATGCTTGTTGACAGCGCGGCACAAATTTAAAAAGCGTGCCAACACAGCCAAAATTAAATTTTGACATTCCAGGTCCGAGGTAATAATATTCTCCGGTGCTGGAAAACCGTCCTTCAGTTCCTTCTAAACAATCTGCTGCTGCTTTTAGAAACAGACAGCGGAGGGTTTCGACCTCCTCGTGTCGGTTGGTTGTTACATCAACTGCTCGTAGCAAGAAGTTGACTTTGATTCCTATTTATATGAAAATGTCACAGATAATTACTTCAACATTTTCATTTCGGATTCTATAATCAAGTGTTTGAAAGCAATAATAATAAATATAAGGTAGTTTTCCAAACAGCCGCCGTGTGCGCGTCCACATTCGAGCGATCTGCTACAAATGTCATATCGTCTTCATATTACGCTCCGGATAATAAATCTTAAAAGCTGCTGGAGTTTAATGCCTCCGCTCGTCGTTGCATCACCAGAGGAGCAAACACGGTACCAATAAAGCCGTGAAAGCCAATAATGAGCCAATAATATATGCTCAGCGAGATATTAGTCAGCCTCTTCCTCTCTCCCTGCAGACCGGGGAGCTGTGGCGTGTTTGTCTTCGGCTGCTGATGCTAATGACGATGATGAGGGCAGCGGTGGAGAAGACGCCGGCGCCGCCCATCCCGTCTACCCCGGCCTGCAGTTCTGCGCCAGCCAGCACACAGACCGAATATATCTGTACTCCAAGGTACGGCTGCCTGTGCGAGCGTTTGATTGTGCGTGCTTGATTATTGACTCAACCCTTAAGGGGACTGGAGATGTTTTGCTAATGATTTTCACTGATTATATTTTTTTTTCTCAAGGTTGTGAATAGGTGCTGCGATTACAGGAAATCTTGCAATTACCTCCATTGTCCATGTGCTTAGTCAGACAACATTTCTTTAACTTATAGTCATGTGCACATAGGCAGTAATGCAACGTTGTGTGATTCAATTACAATTTAAATGTTAAACAATTACTAAGGGGATTACATCCAAATATAAATTTTCGGTAACAGATTTTTTCTGTAGCTTGAATTTGACATTTGTTCTGTTGCTTTGCATCTTTTTGCAATGCATGTTTTGCCTTGTTTCCAGACAATGTAGGTCAGCAAAGGAGCCGTCTCTACGTCTAGACCAGGGGTGCCCCATCCTGGTCCTCGAGAGCCCCTATCCAGCATGTTTTAGATGTTTCCTTCTTCCAACACACCTGATTCAAATGATCAGGATCGTTATCAGGCTTCTGCAGAGCTTGATGATGAGCTGATCATTTGAATCAGGTGTGTTGGAAGAGAGAAACATCTAAAACATGCAGGACTGTGGCCCTCGAGGACCAGGATTGCCCACCCCTGATGTAGGCCAACCACTGCAGTTCCTCGAATGTCCACTTGGTGCTGACTCCAAAAACGAGCCAATCCACATTGACCCCCATATTAAAATGTCTAACTTAACAGCAGAAATAGACACAACCTTTGGTCTCTTATAGCTAAAATCTCAGTTTTTAGCAACTGCAGGCGGATGAATTCGTATGTAGCTCACTTGTTAGGTTGTTTTAAGGCTTAAACGTGTGCATAACATAGCATAGGTAGCTACCATCATCTGACACTTCATCACCTGCATGGAGTTATGCAGACTCAAGAACTGCAAGAACCTCAGACCTCCTCAGATTTTGGGCGTTGTTTTTGATTGGTTCCCTTGTTTAAATTTGCATCGCCTCCCATCTGCTATTAAAGTCAGCATGCATTGCTTGAAGTAACCTCAGTCTGCCTGTTGGCCAGTTTAAGACATTGGTGTAAAATGTATTTTTTTAGTTATTCATTACATTTTGAACAAAGTACCTGTCACCTATTACATTTCAGAAGTGAACTTTCCAGCTTTGTGTGCTGCCAGAAGTCCCTGTCACTGAATTTCACTTACATTTCTGAGAACATCTCACTGATGGGTTGTGATCACTGGATGGCTGAACCCCACAGGTTTCCTGAACACTGACCATCCGCAGTGTCTGACTCCTCCTAACTTCCTCCTAATCCAAAGGGATGAGCGTAAGTGGAGCTGAGGTGGGTCATAAAGTGTCCTGTGACAACACCCACCTGTCACTCAAAGCAGCCATTCGCTTAATTATGCAGAACTTTTAAGCCCCAATACAATTTAAACTGGATAGTTTTATAAAAATTCAACCCTGTACAGTTGTAACGAACAACACAATGTGCGACTTAGACTTAAAGCGATTTTCATACCAGGATGTAAACGTGTTTATTTTTAACGTGAAGTTGGACATGTTAACATTGGGACCTATGGGGATTGACTCCCTTTTTGAAGACAGCCTCAAGTGGACACTTAAAGAACTGCACTCTAATGTTGGCTTCGTTTTTCAGCACCTCTTAGTCATCATTAGCTACGTCAGCGCAGAAAACAAATGGAGGCTCTATTTCCAAGGCACACTACACTTGCTTATGTACGTAGTTGGTTCTGGTAATTTCCCATCAATAACTCACATCAGGAGGTGTACAGCGTCAACACTTTATTCCTTTTGCAAACGACAGGTAGACGTGGGCTGGTGTCGTGTCACATGTTTGAGTACCGGCTATTAAATTACTAATTATCTCCGCAGCTATTTGAAAATGCTAACCTTTCTTTTGCAGCTTTAGGTGTAAGGAAACAGGAGCTTATTTTACCTTCTAAATCAAAGATGTCATAATTTTTTTTTCCTCTTTTGTCTCCGGGTCTCACAGCAATAAGAATAAATAAATAACAAAAGGGCATAAAGAGGTTTGAAGCCTGCTCAGTGTTTTGTTCCTTACCAGCTGTAGTGAACAAAACATAATTAAGTCCTTTTTTTTTTTTGCTTTTGAGCGTGAAGTCTCATTGTTATCAACAACTGTTTCTCAAGTTTCAGCTGCAAATAACAATGCAGGTATAAAAATAAGAGACGTGCTGTTCTTTCACACGTTGCCAATTAGCAAACAGGAAGGATGTGAGAAAGTAGCTTCAGGCAACATTAAGAAAGTCAAAGTTTAGGGATGAATAATGTTCTTAACTAATGGTGATTGAAAGAGGTGCAGTTATTCCATTTGCAGGCGACACGGAGGCCGACTTTGATGGGCTTAGACTGGGGGAAAAAAACAGGCTATAATGTGTCATTACGGGTTCAGCATAGTGATTATAAAAGCTCGGTACTTGATTATAACTTAGACTCGGTCTTATTAACGCAGGAACAAGAGCCTGTTCCAGTCACTTCACGCTTTTTTTTTTTTTCTCTTCCTTTCTCTGAGATTGAAAAGGTGAAAGAAAAGCTCTTCAAATCCATTCATATTCTTCCGTTCAATACAAATTAAAGGTTTAGGAATTACCAAGGGATTACCAATGCGATTTAACAGGGAGCCACCCATCTCCAAGCCTCCTCCTAACTTTTTCAATTTTATCTACAATCCTCCTGTATTTACCAGGAAGGCGGTCGACGAAGGATTTTTATTTAATATGTTTTGTGCACAAATGTCTTCTTCTTTTTTTTTTCGGTTAATCTAAACTGGCAGGGGCAGCCCAGCAATTTTAAATATCATTCTCAGTTTGCTTGACGCGCGCCGCTCGGGCTGAAAACAGCTGCCGAGTGTCTGCTGCGGCTCTCGAGGAGCTTTGTCAAGTCTAAGCCGAGAGAGAAGTCTGCGTTTCAAAGTGGGGACGGAGGACAGGGTCCGGTGAGAGACGAGTGTTATGAAAAATGCAGGATCAAGTGTCTTCGGAGCAACAGGGAAGTGCCACAGTATGTAGGTTGACATATGTGGCCTGGACCTGCGTGTTGGCAGCAGGAAATAGATGATGGCTGCTTGTCCTACTGTTGCTCTACACTTTGGCATTTGTCCTGATGACTGTTAAACAAAAACTGCATCGTTTCTTTCTTCATTTCCCTAAATTTAGCATGTAATTACAGAGGTACTATTAAGAATGCAAGCAAGTTAAGCTCGGTGATTATAACACTGAAGGTAGCCTCGCCTTGATGTAAAAAATGTAAATATTAACAGGCCTTTAGGGTCGGTTTAGGTCCAAACCTTGTTTCGCCCCCGTAGAACCTATTTTTGGGCTATTTTTTGTGGACAAAAAGCCACCCACACTGCAGTAGAAAGCGGCCTAATATATCAACAAATAAACGTTATATCTAAATGTAAACACAGTATGATAGCGATATTAAAAAAGGGGGAATAACAGTTTAACTTGTCGCTCGACTCCGCACCACCACATGCTCTGCTACATGTGCTGCAGACAGTACAGCACTTGTTGTAAACAAAACTTTCAGCATCTTGTTCAACTATATGACGCAATCAGGGCCACGACTTTCGACTCTGTTCTTGGATTACACACTTAATTATTAATTAACTACCACTAACAGCGACTGAATGAATTTTAAAACCAGTGGGCTAGCAGCAGGAGGACAGACTGTCAGTCGTCTCCCAACTTTGTGAGCGCTCGGTATTAAATCTCTGGAGTGATAATCCTGTTTTCTGTGTTCTTGGCTGGCAGTGACTAATGTATGGTTGCTAAGATTGCTCAAAATATGATAAGTGACCACCTTGCAGCTCTGTTCAAATCATGATGAACAACAACAACAACAACGGCTGCCCTGGCAGCACTTGAGGCAGCTGAGGGACCGAGTATTAGATCAGTCATAAATGTTTAGATATCTTCTAACAAGCTGTGGTTGTTTAAAAGAGCTGACCAAGACGTTTCAGCGAAGGCAGTCGGCCAGGAAGGCGAGCAGAGACGCTCTACCTACAGCATCCAGTCACAGGGGGGAGACTTTGGGCATTTCATTAGGTAATCAAGTAAAATGTTCTTTAAGCTGATTTCATCATTGAAGCTTCTGGAGCTGCTTGCACCCAGCAGACTAATACAAGCCATAGTTTAACCCCGGTCTGACTCTGATTACACTCCTGTGCATTCTTGGCACTCCTCTTGAGTGCCACTTGCCAACAGACCTCCGTATTGATCGCATTGTGATACTTAACGCCCTTTTGTTTCATTCATGAGGGATCAAATTCCTTCCCCACTAACGCAGATAAGAGACAAGAGGGTTTTACATAGAGGAGACCAAAGCGCTGAACTGAATCACCAATGGAATATTACCCTGACGGCAATAGACAAGTGTCATGTACGCGTGGCTGAGACGATAAGCCGCGGAGATAAATGTCCCCCGCTGTCGTTTAAATGATAAACTGGAGGAATTCTGGCTGGAAAGCTGTCACATCGGGATAATCCTGGACCGGGCGTAGAATTCGCACGGGGGGCCGCTCGAAGCACAATCAGAGGAAGATTTGTCACCGGGGCTTGAATGAGAAATATTGAGAGTATTAGGAATTTTATGTCCAGTTTCTACACATCAAACGATTGTTTTACTCAAGGATTCGCTGTCCTCTCTCCCGGCGCTTTGGTGTTTTGACACCAGAAGCGGCGGATGGGTGCGGTTGACAACATGGAGAGTAATTCATTGTATATCTCGCTCAGGCTCCACATCTGTTTGTGACAAACCTCTAAAATACTCGTTGAATGATGCGATATTCTAACGATCCGCACTTGTCAGGGCCTGTTCACGTTGATAACTGTTTTATGCTCAAATGTCTACAAAGACGTCTGTAGGCTTTATCTATAGAGATAAACACGAGTTGTTTGCTGCACAAATCGCAGAAGTAATGAATGGAAAATCTCCTGTATCCCAGGAAGGAAGGATCTGATCTCGCTATCTTGTCAGAGCTGTGGATTTTAATAAGGCGGCGGATAGTTTGGTGAGGAAGACATGCCTGTTTTGAGGGAAGACGGCTCGCAACGCTGCTGCTGCCGCCGCCGTGTGTTTACGGCTGTTTGATCAGCGTTTGTCAGGCTCTGATCAATGCTTTGTGACGTGAGCGTCGGCGTGGGGGTTTCTGACAGCAAAGAGGTGTAGACTCACGTAGGTACTGTTACTGACACAGACACGTGATATTTAAAAAAAGAATGAAAGAAGAAATAACGTGGGTGTGCCTAGTGTCTTTTCATGACCTTGAATAATGAATACCACGTATTCAGCTCTGTTTGACGGTTCTTGCACAAGACATCTGGGAAATATTTGGATAGCAACGTTAATGCTAACAGCGCTAATATCCAGAATTAAATGACTTCTGTGGTCTTAATTTGTGCATCAAGTTGATATTGCTTTTATATTTTTAACCCAAACTGCCTGTTAATGATCTGGAACAAACCCGCTGTTCATTGTTCACGACTTGCAGGAGCTAGCTTAGCATTGTTGGTGCTAGCTGCTGCTTTCTGTACCCTGGAATTCTCAAGCAGCAACATCCAGAGCTAAAAAGTCAACAGAGACGTGCCAGAAAGCAGTTTGAGCTGCTGTGATGCAGAGTGGAGACTAGAGGCTTCTCTGTGCACAACCAACCAGCTAGCTGCTATCGTAGCCTGCAATGTGTGGCGTTTAGGGAACATCAGTGACCCTATTATTGATCAAAATAATCACGATTATCAGTTTGGGCACCATCCTGCACCCCTTGTTTGTTCTATGGTCATATTTCAGCACAAACTAATGAGACAAGTTCCAAAGGTTTCATACCATAAAAAGTCATTTTCCAGCTTTTTTCTTTTTAATTAGTTTTTATTCTTTATACGGATGTACTCCACCACGAAACCCTCCTAATTGTTCTACAGTGATTCATTCTTTCCAAATAGAGTTATTCAAGGCATTCGGTGAAATTATTTTTCACGTCACAACAGACGCAGCCGAGAAACTAAATATCACGATGTTCGATTTTTGGTTTAATGGTAATATTATGCAGCCCTGTTATATAAACTGCTCACAAAAATAAAAATGAAATTCATAAACATATCTCAAAAGATCCGTTTCCTGAAAATGAAAATAAATGAAGCTTTTCTGTAAATTATTGGATTTTGGGAAAGAAGCCCTCTTTTGAATTGATTTATTTGTTGCTCATGAGCATGTTAGTGCGGAGGATAGTGTGCCTGTTTTCAATCACATCTAGCAGGGCTCTAATCCTGCTCCATGCTGTTACAGCACAACCCGCTCCACCATTTCCCCTGACTCTCCATGATATTTATTTTACCATAATCCAAATAAACACGTGGGCCTCTGTGCACTCAGGCTACAGCGCAGGAAAAACTTCCTAATGTTGATTTGTATCTCCAAATCCACGTGTCGGCGGCCCGCTAGGTATTAACCTTTAGACTTTATCCTTTCTCCTCTCCCCTGCCCGTCCTCTCTGTCCACCATCTCCAGCAGCTGAAGGATTGTGGCTTTCACCTGAATTTGCTGGTCAGCTGCTTTCTTCTGAAATGTTTGGCACAGTCGCTGTTGTTTGATTGAAGTTAACACCGAGGCCAAGTGGCTTCTCGGGCTTCAAATTGCCAGTAGTTAGTGCTAATGAAGCAGTAATAACTGTGAAAATGTTCTTTATCGTGGTTATTTTTTACAATGATTATGCTGTTACCTCCGAGCCGCTGCAGTATGATTACCTATAATTACAGTGAGCTGCAATCCTATAGGTGTAGGCGCGCGTTATTTCATTATTTTATTTTACTCTTCCTATTTCTCATTATTTCTGCAGCTAATTCATGCACGCTGTCACAAGACAAGCAGTATCTTTAAACATATATGGGAATCAAGGGGACAAAACAAGAGAGATCACTAACGAGCTCCTCGGTTACCTCGGGGATTACCATGGCAACCAATAAAGAATACAGTGTGGCCAGATTACAGAACTTGAATGTAATTGGATTCAGGTTGTGCGAGTTGGTAATTAAAAATCTGATTGCTTGGCTGAAGATACCTAAAGTTTGAGTAGAAACTGAGCTACGGTGCACAATGGAACTAATTGCGTGTGAACCGTGCAAAACTATATATTTATTTCTAATTGCTGAGTGACAGGTAGGGTTCTGCCGTTGCTGCTCATGTTCTCCACAGAGGTGTTCATCGTATATGGTCGTACTACAAACTGGAGCTTATTTGACTCATAGTGACCACTGTTGTGTTGGACATTAGAAAGTTTAGAGCCATGTCGTGCTCTGAGCTAAACGCTAACATCAATCAATCCGATTTAAAGTCCTTGTCGTAGCAGCTAGAAGGGATCCAGGCCCAGCGCTGAGGCCGTGCTTGACTTCGTCCTGCTGGTTCACATCAGCAATAACAGAGAATATACTGCTACCAATAAAAGCCATTCCTCAGATGTAGCTAATGAGCAAACAAAGTTCACTCGCTGCCGCCCACCTCCTGTGACACATGGAGTTAACATTTGTTTGATAGCATCAGGAAGCTTTGTTTGCGCTCCATCCCTCCTCCCAGGTTGGTATCAGAAGTTATATAACTACAGTATTATCCTGACATTTCTTCTCGACTGAAACAATAACCCGGCTGCGTCGTCATTCACTCAGAAGGACGGCCGGCGAGTAAACTGGCGTGGTTGTATTTCTGTTTGCTTTGGTTACACCAGTGTGACTCAGCAGCAAAAATCCCACGTCTCACCAACTGTTTGGGCAGGAAAACACGAGGAGGAGCCGGTCAGGAACCTCCGAGAGAATCACGAAGGGACTGTGTGCAGCGTGGAGCTCCGTTTACTGCTTCAAACGACGGCTCTCTACGGGCGTCTCTCTGCCCAGCGAGCCCAAGCGACGGTGTTTTAGCCAAAACCGTTGACTGTCTTCCTTGACCACATGAAAGAAGTATTTCTTTCTGCCACTTCTGCTTAAACACTTACCCGTAATCTTTGTAGATTAATTTTCCGTCAATCAAGCGGTCGTTTCATCTCCACCGAGCGACACTTTGATTATCTGATTCTGCTTATAGTTCCTAATTCGTGTACAAATTATCAAATAATGTTGCCAAGTAATTAAGTAGATTCAACATAAAGCACCTTTCAAGATGCCTCGCATAGAAAAATGATCATTTGGACGTCTCTGGTTTCATTCATGATCGAGATGAAAAAGGGAAAAAAAAAACAACTTCAGATCATGGCTGCAGAATCAATACTCATATACAGCTACCTTATATGTAGGAATTATGAATCTCTTTAGAATTCCTGGCTCACAGGTCTATGAAAAGAAGAAAGGCTTTGAGATGTCCCTTTTTTTTGTTTTGCTTTTAGACCACTACCTATGAAAGAAGTAGTCACATAAGAACTACGGTGATTCTGGAAAGACGAATGTTTTGTTTGCTTATAACCGTGAGTGAACCAACAAATAAGACATTTTCGTTGTCGTGAAGGAAACAAAACTTGGTCAGCAGCCCCAACATCCTGCCGAGATATAAATCTAAATCAAATATGGAGTTAAACCACGGCACCGATATTAGCCAGGCTAAAGATGTTTATCGGTATATTAGCAACACTTCCACCAGGATGAAGATGATGGTTGTAACTTTGCTCCCGGCTGTCTTCTTCCTTCCCGTCTCCTCCTCATCTTTTAGGACGGAGCGCCGCTGAACTTGAGCTTCGTCCCTCTGGACATCAAACTAACCAACTGGGACGACCTGCCCGAGGCCTTCAGCCGGCGCCGGGAAAATCGAATACAGGTCTGCCCTTCCCGCCAGGCTGAATGCGTGTGTGTGTCTCTTGCATGTGCTTTGATATTCACGGCTGTGTGTGGGTGTGCATGCGGAGCGTTTACACCGGGGAGGTGTACACATTTAATTTGTCATTACTGGTAAAACGCTGTAAAGGGGAATTAAACTAGAGCTGACCTTTCGGTTATAAGATGTGCCAATACTTCTTTTTTTTTCTTCTGATTGATTGGAAAGACAAGACAAATGCAACCAAGACATGATAAGATTTGGAGGGCGATGAAAAATTCTGCTCAAGAGTGCAGCTGAAAGTTTTTCTGCTGGTGTGCCCATAGGCTGCTTTAAGGATGACCTTAATTTTAGACGAAGATAATTTAGTTTCATATCGCAGTCAGCGGAGCTATCGCCTCGGTTCCACTGATCCAGTGAAGATGAGGCACGAGGCAGTGTGGGGTTATTAAAGCTAACTGATATGTGTGTGTGTGTGTGTGTGTGTGTGTGTCGGTGCCATGTGAAACTAATGACACCAGTGATCACGAGCAGGAAAAGCAGCAGCAGCAGCAGCATCGGCAGCCTGACAGATAGGTGGAATGTGGACGCCCACTTTCCACCACTGCAGGGCCCGAGGAGTGATGGAGGAGGGGTTGGGTGTGATGGAGGGAGCGTGGGGGCGGTTTGGGGGTTTGGGCAGCCGAGGAGACCAGCAAAAGAGAAAGTGCCGTTTTATGACGGTCGTTAAAGGAGACGGATCATCGCCTCAAACGACCCCGCACGCCAACCGGCTAATATTAAATCCTGCAATCTGCCGCGGCAGTAACAGCCCCTGACAGACGCCCCACCTGTCACGTTGTTTATGTTGGTTTGTAAAACCGAGGCGTGAGTTGCATCCATCCTCTGACCCATCATTTATGCCCTGTTACTCTCCAATTGTCCATCAAAATCAATACCAAGCAAGCAGTTTAATGTGGCCTGCAACACGTAAACTCTCCGACGCCCGGTGCCACAATAGAAACTAACCGCTGAAATATCTTTAATATAAACGGCCAATTATTATAAAACTTGTATTAGAATGATCTACATTGGGGCCGTATTTCTGAGAGGAGAGCCTGAGATGTTCTACCAGTGACATGAAGAGCCAACAGTGTTTTAAAACGCCTCTGATGTCTGTAACTCTGAGTTCTTGCTTTTTAAAAGAGCTCATGGAGTCGAATTTTTGGCAAAGTAAAAAAAAAAACTGAGCACTGTAGTTTTTAGCAAATCGTTCAAGGAGGAAAAGTGCTTTTTTTTTTTGAGGAGTATTTTCAGCTGCACATTAAGAAGCATCTGATGCTCCTCAAAGGACTGACAGCAGCGTTCCTGAGACTGAGTCAACTAATACACTCGCAGGTAAGCTAATAGGTTTCTTCTGGCTGGAAATGACATAAACAAGTTACAGAAAATGTCAAGACAGTGTGATGCAGAAAATGTTCCTGTAATTTCTACCATACTCTGTAAATTCAACAGCGGACACGGTAGCTCTCTAGTCAGTTACTAGTCAATTGCAAGTCGCGGCTAAAAGCAAAAAGCTTTGTGAGCTGCCATTAGAGTCTGTCACCGAGAGAGAGCTGCACATTGTGGCTGCTCGCAAGACGATCAAAAGCCATGAAGCCCTATCTGAGTGTTTTTAAGTGCCAGTGGTCTCAGTGCAAAGCGTCACCAAGAAGCACGAGGAGGTGTGAAACATCACAGGAAAACAAAAGTGACCAGTGCACGAGTAAGGACGGTCGTTAGAGAGACCAATAAGGATCCAAGACTTCTCCAAGACGGCCTCAGAGAAGGTCACCAGGGCGAAGAAGAAAGGCGCTGGCCGTCAGTTCTGTGGTCAGATGAGATGAACGTGGAGTTGTTTGGACACAAGGACGGGAGTCAATGTCAGAGATGGTGGTGGGAATGTTGGAGGAGGCAGAGGAAACGGCTTCATGAGGAAAAAAGAAAAAACAGAAGACCAGCCTTCCACCCTTAAGAGCTGGAGATCATCTCTATCCCAGTGAAACATAAAGAACGATTGTTAGCAACCATAAGGACTGCCCGGGTCCAAATGAAGACCTAGGAAGGTTTTACAGTTTGGACGTGGCATTTTCAGCACAAGTGTAAAGCAAAAACAAACTGTTGAGATGTATCATTAACCTCTGTGACATGATGTCTCGCTGTCATTTGTCATTTTCAGCCAGAAGAAACCTATTGGCCTCGTCGAGATTCACTATAAATCAAAAGTTGGTGAATCATTTTGGGCTTGTGCTGGTTAGTGGGATCAGTTCCGTGGTGTTTTGTGGGATAAGCTGCCATTAAGACGAACACAAACCTTAAGAATAAAAGCAGCTACACGCTGATAAAAATCAAAGTGCTCCAGTTTCCACCCACACAAAGTCTCACCTATTAACTCATCTGACCTTCGGTAAAGCTGCAAGCCACAAAGACCATCCCACTCTCCACTTTATTCATGACTTTTGACATCTGCCTCGACTCCTTGACTCCCCGCTAACCTTTGACGGCTTTTCAGAACAGTTACCGCTTCGTGATGTCACCAGAGCTTGTCCAGGGTCTTCAGCTGCACTGCACTCGTGTCAGGAGTCTCCAGAAAACCCTGCACATGTCGAGCAGGGCTTCTGTGATCTACCAGCGCATGACATCCAGGCTGACTGCTGTTCTTTGACTCCTGATCTGAATACAAGACAACCCTCAGCTCTGTTTCCAGATCCTCCAGGAGAATGGCAGCCTGCTACTTACTGCCTTCAATCTCAAGCAAGTGATGGGCAATAATTGAGGATTATCCTCTTTTAAAGTCGAGTGGCATATTTTCACAAAGATGACAGCTCATCACGTTGTCATTCTCCACAGTCCCAACAATGACAATAACTCAAAGTGATTTTAAAGGCCCCATATTGTGGCCCTTTTCAGCAAATTATCGAGAATATGTCTGCATGTTTTCAATTTAAATTAATGTAACGATAGTACTTAACCATATCTCTATAGCCCCTTTATAAACAGACTGTTTCATTGGTAGTCGCTTTAATTACAGCTTAGCTTCTGCAGTCCACGCCCCCTTCAGGAAGAAGACTCTCTGGATCTGCTGTTGAGAACGCAGAGCAAATCGGTGTGTTACGGGGAGTCAGACCCAAATGCAGACAAAGGGTCAAATAAACAAGAGGTTTGGGGGTTTTTGTTGTATACAAGAGGAGATGGGTGTAGGAACGACTACTGGGGAAGGGACGAGGAAGCTCACTTGGAGGGAAGGGAAAGAACTACAGCTAAGTAGGAATTAGGGAAGTTACAAGGTTAGACGTGGTCCCACCAACCTCTACCGGGGAAATAGCCAAACCAGAAAATCTAATGAGGCCGAGGTGAAAACCACAAAATGCCAGGAGAAAGAACACTTTGGCATACTTGGGTGATCTAGGGGGTTACTGGGCAGGACCAACTACGACAAGACGAGGAACAGTTCGGGATAGGTTTCAGACTCACAACAAGAAAATTGAGGCGCGTACATAGACGACACTAATGAGTGGAAGATCTGAGCTTCACAAACCACAGACTGATCTACGCAAAGGTGGCAATTAGAGACGAAGAAACAGACAGGATACACAACTACCAATTAGTTAGCATTACTAGTACGAGAGCGCAGTCATTTAATGTGGAAAATACAGCCGACCTCACAGCACAACTGTTGCTTTCAGCTTGTGTTTGGTAAGTTTGTTAGACAACGTCGTGGTTATAAAATCAGTATTTTAGCGGTGCAAAGCTTTGGAATGGCTCTAAAGTGACTAATGGTTAACATGTAGTCTTCAGTCGCTAGTTCACGCTCGTTCTGCTGTCTCGAAACGGGAAAATGTGTAAATGAGAACAGCTTTATTTTGGAAGTCAGCTGTCGTAAAATACAGTCTATGTGAGCACAGAGAGCAGGAGAGAAGTGAACTGATGTTACCATGAAAACACAGCAACCCACGTAGTCCTTGTTTGTTGGTTTCAAATACATTTTTCAATATAATTTCCATTAAACTCTGACCTGTGGCCATAAGATCAAAGTTATTGGTCACATTAGTCATGCAACATGCTAATGCTAAAGGGTTTTCCTACTGTTGTGGGGACATTGCCATTAAAATACCAGTAATCTACTAGATCGTCAGTTCCTTAGATGGTGGGGGTGCATGAAGGCTCTTGTGTTCACTCCTGCAGCCAACAGCAGAACATTTGTTGTGCTTTGCTTGCGGCTGAGACGTTTTAGAGTTGGTTTTAAACCATCAAAACGCAATAAATATGGATTTTAACCATATTGGACCTTTTAGGGAAATGTAGGTTTTGCATGTTTTCATTATTTATGGAAGCAAAGAAAAACCACAATAATCAAAATCTAACAAGAAACCGTTTACCTACTTGTGAACCACTGAATAGTTACTGTCATGGTGAATGTTCAGTGTTCAGGGAAACAATGTTAGACTTAAGTTCGTCATTATTTTGGGGTCTGAACGTTCAAGTCATGTTCTCAAAGTAGATGGTGTCAAAATGTCAAATTAAGTCAACAGAAAATTCACATTTGAGACGATAAATATAGGTTTAGATGTTTAAAACATTCAAAAAGGAGAATCTAGACGCCCTAAATTAATAACGCAGGTAAGTTGAATATTTAAATGTTGTAAACTTAATGGAATCTTATTTAACAATTGCTTTTAATGAATAGTAATGTTTCTGTTATGATTCACCCGATTCGGCTGCTGGAGCGTCAACAAAGAAAGCCTGAATGTTGTGATGGCTGGAAAATATGTCCATATTCTGCGTATTGAGCTTCATCTTCAGACAACTCATCTTTCTGTGACAGTGGCTATCATCAAGTGTAATATATGTAGGTAAATTGCCCATTAGGCCTTGGTGCCTGGTGTGCTATTTGTTATTTTGCCAGTGGATTTTCTTTGAATCCTTGACTTGGCTGAAAGCGCATACGGCTCTCTATTGGTTTGATGGGTTTTGTTCAGCTATCTGGAAAACTGTCTCCTTTGAATAGTTTGTTTTCAGCTCAAGTGTATTTTCAAAATTGAAAAGCTAAAAAATGTTTTGCTTTTAAAGAGGTTCCAATGTCCAAACTATCAATTTGTGTCGAAGATGAAGGCTCGAACAGCTTCGGTTTCTGCTTGAAATTGAATATAAAGTGAGGTGTTTTGTCCCCTCCTCCTCCTCCTCCTCCTCCTCCTCCTCCTCCTCCTCTGCAGGTGCTGAGGTTTGTCCAGGAGTGGAGCAGCCTGGCAGCCATGAAGCAGAAGCTGCTCCGACGCAGCGGCCTCCTCTTCCACAGCCCCACCCTGGGCTTACAGCAGCTGGCCGCCACCCAACGCCCTCACTCAAGCACCAAGAGGTCAGATTCTAGCTGGAAGTATGCTCTTGAAGGAAACACGCTTTGACTTTCACTAAAGCCCTACTTAAATCAGTGATTTTCCAGTCGTAGCCCAGATACCGTACGTAGCAGCGACTCCCAACTATGGATTCGTCCTCATGTTGAAGCTGTGTTTGTGGACTCTAGCAGGAGAGACACTTGGCATTTACAGACTTTGGAGTGTTTTATCCTTTGCAAACCCAAAAACACTAGAGAGAAGATGAGAGGACAGTTTACTAAACTAGAAGCACATCATTAAATATTGACAGTAGTTTGTTTGGTTACATTTAGCCTCTGAACCAAACACTTTCTGCTGCTTTTTGACTCACTGTGAGCTCATTTTTCACTGCAGCATAAAGCCCCAAACCTCCATAGAAACAGCACAACCACAGCTAGGACCAGAGAGAGTTTAAAAAGATGTCTTCTATGCAGCATGTGCAGTGGTGCGGTGGTGCCAACGCTGTAAAGAAATCATTCAATAGATACTTTACTGTTCACATTTTTACAACCTCTACAAGCTCAGTGTTTTTCACACTGCTCTGCCCGTCATTGTCGATACTTTACACGATCTCTGCAAGTGGTTTACTTCTAGCAAATTTTTAAATGAGACTTGCAGAGTTTATTTTGATGACATCATGACTTTAAACTCAGATTTGCAGCGTGATGCGTTCAAGAACCGTCGGAAAGTTTAAAGTCAGATTATTCTTTCTGTTTTTGCAGCTGCTTCTTTTTAAAGATAACATGCCCTACAAACCTACTGTGTAAAGGGTAAAAAACACGTCTCTAGAATAGCAGACGAATTGGTTGTTGCATTAATCGACTATTTAAAAAAAAAACACACAAAAAAAAACCAAAAAAAAATGAAAACAAACCAAAAAAAAGGGTTGAAAAGGGACATCTGCTGAGTGTTATTGTATGTTTTACTCACCCAAAGCCCTCGGTGTCGGATGTGAAATAATCTGGATGAACAGTTCATCGTTGGTTTGGAAAAAGCTGCACCTGGAGGTCCCTTGTTATCCTGCACCAGTTTAAGGCTCATGTTCGGAGCTCAGTTGTGATCTTTATTAGATTTGGAGAACTTTGCATTTTATAAATCATAGCAAAGGTTTCTGTTTTTTTGAAACTGAAAACATAGTTTGAAATATGAAAAGGATGAAAGCGAGAAGACCAGAAGAGTTACATTAAACCTAATTAACACTCTGCTGCATTTCATTTTTATTATACGAGGTGTTTCAGAAACGTTCCAGGACTGCCGTCACAAAAGATAGATTTCAAATCCAAACTACAAGCGCACTCCTCCAGCCTTCTCTGCCTTCACGCCGCCATGCCCTCCTGGAAGGATTCTTCCAGGATCCTCCTCAGCTCCGTCGTCACAGCCATATTAATGTCGTCTTTTAAGTGGGTCCCCTTGATGACCCCCTTGAGCTTGAGGAAGAGGAAACAATCCCAGGGAGCCAGGTGGGGTGAGTAGGGAGGTTGCTCCAGCACAGAGATGTTCTTCTCAGCCAGGAACTGTGGGATGCTCAGGGCGTTGTGAGCAGGTTGTCATGGTGGAGCAGCCACGACTCTGAACGAAGCAAACGCTGAAGGATCTCTTTGTAGACGAGCTGGTTGATCGTCTGAAGGGAAAAACTTGGAGTTTGTAGTTTGGGTTTGAAATATATCTTTGGTGACACCAATCCTGGAACTTTTCTGGCACACCTCCTACTTACAAGGGTTAAATAGCAAGAACAACACTGGTTCATTATTCCCAAATCTTCTCCAGTTATCATCTAATGTTGTCTGTGTTTCAATTAAATGAACCTCCAGTTAACAAAACTGCTTTAGGGGATGCCAAAAATTCTTCACTTCCTACAGCTTCAGCTTCAGTTGTTCATATAGACACCAGGTTTTTATTCAAGGTCATTAAAAATTCTGCCAGTTTGCGACGGTTTCATGACGATAATCTTGATCTGATTTAGCAAACCAGCTCCATCTACCAGCAGCAGTTCTCGTTTTACAAGGCAAAATCAAAAGAAGCCTGGTTTTGACCGTTTCTGTCCAAATTTACTGGATATTTGGAGTGCTAAATCCCCCCTCATCATCATTTAAACTGCATGTGTGCACTAACTAAGGGTCAGCTGTGGCACACCTCCCCTGTAGCGCTCCAGTAAATCTGCAGACAGTAACAAGGCAACAAAAATATGTCTTCCCCCATGAGCCCATCACTAAGACATCATTGAGCTTGGCACCTCCTTTGGGCCAGTTAGTGTACATTCTGAATTGGTGGAAGTAGTGAGATGAATTAGCTCCCAACATTATGTCAGAAACCAAGAAGCAATGTGTGAGATTTCACAGAGAAACGAGCAGATTTGTAAATACTAACTGCCCCAGGCATCATGGAAGGCTGAATAGTATTTGTGTGTGTGTGTGTGTGTGTGTGCATGTGTGTGTGTGGGTGTATCAAAGGGTGTCAGCTGAGGCATAAGAGAGGATGGGATGAGCGCTGTGTATGTGTACATGTGTGTTTTTTGACAAACAAGCATTGTTGCTGGCACACTAATTACAGCTGGCGTGGATAGAGGCAGGGAGAGTTTGCCAATTACAGGGTAGATTCGTGTGTGTGTGTGTAAGTGAGGGAGAGTGTTTCTCAACCGGGGAACGCGTTTGGGTGCATGAACCTAATCAAGGTGTGAGTAGGAGGCAATTGGCCCGGCTTGATTTGATACCTGTTTGATTTATTCACTAATCAGAACCAATCAAGCTCCAGCTTTGGCTCAGCGGGGCGATCACGGCTCACCTTCTCAGCACTGAGACGCTCGGCTTTCAACAACTTCAAACTTAATGTACTTTGCCGGGGTTTCCGACGCCGTGGATGCTTCTGTCATAAGCCACTCATGGTGATTTACAGCGATTTTAGAAGAACTAAGAGGATTTTAATCCAGTTTGCATCCTGCCTGAGCAGGCGTCATTGTTCGGATTACCACAACATTGGCCATAAATGGTTTATTGCTTCCTATAATGCGCCATTGCAATCACATAATAAAGACATATGCATTGCGTGTTCCACATATATGTGAAAACTAACTTTTTTTTTTACATGATTTCAAAAAATGTTTTATTGACTGTTGTGCAGACACATTTTTACCATCATTCATCGATCAACTCAAAAGACTCAAAATGTTTTAAGTAAGAACTGACAAATCAACATTTTATTACAACACAATAATCACATGGGAAATTTACAGACATATTAATATACAAATGGAGGACAAACTAAAGGAGAAACCTGTTTAAATCAGAGGACCAGAAGTGTCTTCATCCGGAAAGCTGCAGTTCCTCGAATGTCCACTTGAGGCAGCATTCAAAAGCGAGACAACCCCCATAGACTCCCATGATAAAATGTCCAGCTTCACAGCACACTATAAACATTTGCAGCCTGATATAAATGATTGTTTTGCTCTCTATATGCTAATGACAACTGCACAAGGATTTTTGTCCACCTTGCGCGTTTAAATTCTATTGAGGCTTAAAGTTCTGCACGATTAAAGGTGCTGCAGGTCCGGTCCACGGCCCGTCACAGCTGTACTCGCTCCCTTCGCCCGTTTCTGGATTAGCTTACAGCTTCACAGTGTACGACAACAATGGCGGCAGCTGCAGCTTCAAAACCGCCGTGCAGGAAACCTGAGTGGCGTCGCAGCGGTTTTTTTTATATACGTTCATCACTGGAGAAACACAAAAAAACGCAGATGCTTCCACACAGGTGTGCGACAATTAAGCAGTTAAGATCTAATCACGCTTTGTGGTGCGGATGCTGAGCAGGGCCCGGTCGAGTCTGATTTTGTGTCGAGATGCCAGGAGGAGAAGATCTGCACTGACTTTAAGAGAGAGTTCATTATCGGGGAACAGATGGCAGGAGCTTCAGTCACAAAGACTGCTCAGCTGGCTAGTGTTTCAGCAGGAACAGTGACTAACGCGACACCTGCATTCGGATCTGTGGGAAACTGGTCGACAGTTTGCTGACTGCGACGTTTGTGCACGAGCGTGATGTGTTAGGAAAAGCAGCGGAGCCTCGTGTTCTTCTGGAGAGCGTCAGTGCAGGATGTGGGAGGGGTATTATAGTCGGACTTAAACCCCTGATTACGTTTGAGAGTCCTGTGGTCTACAGAGATGCAGAAGAAACGCTGGTCAGTGTTCTCAACAGGAGGACGAGCAGCTTCATGCTTCACAATGAGGGACTCTGCTGGATTGTGGTCGTCCAATGAGAGAAGAGTCGCTGCTCTGAGTGATCATCGTTACCTCGTTATGAAAAATCTGTAGATGATGTGGCAGCAGTTTTTTACATGTATCGTACAGATCGTGTCATTAATAAATAATAAACAGCTCTGTCCAGACTGACCATGTGAGCTGAGCAACGGGTGATTGGATTTTATAAACAGAAGACGGAACTGTAGACGAAAAAACTGAGCAAAATCAGAATGCAAAGATTTGTGAGTTCCACCTTTTAGGCTTCCGTTTTTTTTTAAAACTCAACAATATGCTCAACTTTTGTGATTTCAGTTGTGATTCTATGTTTCAAAAGTTCAAAACAACACCCAAGGGAATCTAGTTTTTCCAGATTAATTGCTAAACAATCACCTTGGATAGTTAAACGTGTGGATAAAATTGCTATTCGTAGCATTTTTCCGATTCTAATTCTGAAAAATAAGAGCGTTCGGCTTAGCAAACACGGCGCGCTTTATGTCATCATATCATTCTGGCGTCTTGCATCAAAGCTGCACTTCAGTGAATCGGTGTTGCGCTTCCATAGAGAGAGCCGAGGAACTTGAGAAAACAGATTTTTATAAAAGAACGGTCGAATTTAAAACAGCAGATGCCAAGATAGCCTGTTTCTTTTTGCTTCTAGAATGAGTCACGCTGCAACAAAAAAAAGAAAAAAAAAAAGAGAAAACACAACAAACCCCACTGTATCCTACACTTCCCATTATGCAATTTGATAGCAT